GCTTCTGGTTCGCGACCTTCTGTCGCTGCTCCAGAATCTCCCCCCAGACCTTTGAACTCAGACTGCCCGATTCGTTGGCCCTTTCCCGGCTAAGGTACAGGGTCTTTCCCGTGATGATTTTCACGAGCTGCCGGTTCCACTTCTCCAAGCAAACGAACTCCAAGCCGCCCACATCTTTCTGAGGTAGAACAAGATCTAGCTTGCCGTCTGAAATGACGTGCTGCACCTTCACTGTCAAAGCCATGGCAGCCTATATATCCTATATAGACAAAAGAAACTCTCGAGGCTGTATGTTCCCTCCCAGCTTCGAAGCAGAAGGAAAATGCATGATGTCATGATTGGTCATGTCTGCATGCAGCACTTGAATGCAATCTGTATGCACACAAACTGCCTGCGAGCTTGCAGCCCTGCAGGGCGACATGATGCAAGCAAAAACCTGTTTCAAAAGCTCTGTGCGCCAAAACTCGTTCTGTCTCACACCAAAACTCCGGGCCGGTCCAATGCATTCACTGCTTGCCTTTCACCCGCTTGACGGGCACCGGCATCTCCAACTGCTCCCTCTTGTTGTCCTTCTTGATGGGGGCCTGCAGCAGAGAGGTGCCCTTGGCGACTGCATGGGTGTTTTTCAAGATGGGGATCTTTACCTTCGACTCCTTCGAGCCCGCCATGAACATTACGAGATTGATGGCACCGACTTCCTCGGATGCCGGTACCAGAAAAAAGGGAGCCAGGCAATGCTTCCCAGGCTCGAAAGCCTCGTCGGCCTTGGGCATGCTGTTGCATGCCGTGATCCAAAACTGCCGGTCGTCCGCCTGCCAGTCCACCTGCACCTTCACAGCATTGGAGAGGTCACCCTGGCTTTTCGGCCGCTGGACGACCTTGTAGGACGAGGGGATGAGCACCAGCTGTCCCTTACTGAAATTTTTTTTGGTGACGAGAGCCTTTGTTGGCTTCAGCTGGAGGGACAGCTGAAGCATGACATCCTTGTGATCCTCGGTCAATGTCGCCAATTCCTTCTGAATGCATGCGACGACCACAGCTGCCTGGAAGTCGTGACACTCCGACGGCATGAAGACACTTAGGTCCTCGATGATCTCAGGCTCACTCCTAGGCTGGAAGATAGCCCATGTCCCAGCCAGGAACTGCTCGATTGGCACTTTCATGATTCCCTTCTTTCCGAGCTCGACCAAGTGGATCTGCTGGCCCTGGATTCCATCGATTCGGCATTCCAACTTGTCGGCCCTTCGCCGCACGAATGCCTGCAATGTGAAGCCCTTGTCTGCAAGGAGTTCAGATGCATTCCTCAGGGAACCATCGGAATTAAGTTCCCTCATCCTTTCAAAGGCCTGGGATTTCGATGATTGGGCTCCTGTCGTTGCTTCGGCTGAAGTCTGCCATGGCGAAGTCAACTGAACCCCTAAGGTTGCGAACAGCAAGGTCGCATCGTGAGCAATACCTTGGATGCTTTTGTATTCTTTGCCGTCCTCTGCCTGCAGGCCGAGGCAAAATCTAGCAACGGTCATGTCGACGATGCCCAAGATATTGATGAAGCGGACATCATGGAGGATGTCAATGCCAGCAGAAGAGACGAGTTCGCGAAGTTCCCTCAGAACTTTGTCTCCCTCCAAGATCTTGGGGCTGCAATCCTTAGAGAACATCTTCTTGGCATTGGTCTGTGTCAAACCAGTACCAGACAAGCCGACTTTCAGGATTGCATGCCTCATGTGGGCAACTTGCTGCTGTCCCTTCATGAAGTCCTGGGCGAGCAGCTGCCAGAAGCCAAGTCCCAAAGACCGGGTATGGCCTTGACTCCGAACGAATTGTTCTGTTTCACGGAGAAATCTGCCATCGGAGCCGCCACAATACCTTTTATATACAATCGTGCACTTAAGGCCCTATATAAAGAGAAACCAAAACCAAAAANNAGAAAGGCCAGGAACCGAAGGGCAAATGTGTACAAAGCAGGGAATGTCTCCCCGCAAGGAGGCTTGGAGCTCAGGGCCATCTTCTTGACCCCCTGAAAGTCGGGCGGATTCGGCCGACTGCACAAACTGAAAACTCGCCTCAGGAGTTGCAGCTCTGACTCGGACTTTACCAAGGTGGCGTTTTGGCTCGATTGCACGAGCTGAAGCAGCTCTGGGTGAGCCAAAGCCACTTCCTTGGCAATCACCTGCCAAGTCAATCCGTGCTCGACGTGCTGGGCCAAGACGGGATCTCGCGAACGAACTTGCTCGAGGCTCAGGATGCCGTTCACTGACAAGGAGTCCGATTCGTGCGGTGCTGCACTGGCTACAAGCCGCAGTGCAAAATTCGTGTGGCTTGCACTCAAGCTCAGGATCTTGAGGGCGGCTGGGTCCATGGAACCAAGCTTGCCGGCTGCTGCCGAGCAAAGCTGCACATTGTACTCCCTCTCGGCCTCGCTGCACACCTCCACACCGATCGCCTCCACCCGGCTCGCCACAAACCCGACTTGTGCTATGCTGTCTAACAGCTCATGGCAATCTTTTTGGTGGAGCATTATCCCGTCTCTGTTCTGGGGATGAACCCCGACAGAGAGCGGCGGCAGGACCATGGTGCTCATCAGGCTGGCTTGCCGAAGCACACCAAACAACTCCTGGACGGACNNAAACCAAAACCAAAAAACACAAACAAAAATTATATATATATATATATTTATATATATATATATATATAAAGCCCAGGAGCCGAAGGGCAAATGTGTACAAAGCAGGGAATGTCTCCCCGCAAGGAGGCTTGGAGCTCAGGGCCATCTTCTTGACCCCCTGAAAGTCGGGCGGATTCGGCCGACTGCACAAACTGAAAACTCGCCTCAGGAGTTGCAGCTCTGACTCGGACTTTACCAAGGTGGCGTTTTGGCTCGATTGCACGAGCTGAAGCAGCTCTGGGTGAGCCAAAGCCACTTCCTTGGCAATCACCTGCCAAGTCAATCCGTGCTCGACGTGCTGGGCCAACACGGGATCTCGCAAACGAACTTGCTCGAGGCTCAGGATGCCATTCACTGACAAGGAGTCCGATTCGTGCGGTGCTGCGCTGGCTACAAGCCGCAGTGCAAAAGTCGTATGGCTTGCACTCAAGCTCAGGATCTTGAGGGCGGCTGGGTCCATGGAACCAAGCTTGCCGACTGCTGCCGAGCAAAGCTGCACATTGTACTCCCTCTCGGCCTCGCTGCACACCTCCACACCGATCGCCTCCACCCGGCTCGTCACAAACCCGACTTGTGCTATGCTGTCTAACAGCTCATGGCAATCTTTTTGGTGGAGCATTATGCCGTCTCTGTTCTGGGGATGAACCCC